CACAGATGGAAAATTTCTTAGTCCTAGAGTGTGGTTGTGAATTCATATGCCCCTGGGGGCTAGAGGTGGATGAGCTGAATAAATATTATGCTTTATCCCAGGGAGGGAGAGTGCCCAGGACAGAGGAGAACAGCAGCACTTGCACAGAGAAATCCCACCCTGTCCCAGACATATGGCCGATGACTGGGATGCAAAGCTCACGGAGATTAACTTCTAACTTATAGCTGTGTAATAAAAAGAGAAAGCTCTTACTGATTAGCCACTCTGAGATGAAATAGGGAGAGGAAACTGACACCAGTCTTTCCTGATGGAAAAGAAGCTTGTCAGCCAATTGTTAAAATGAAAAAAATATGTTGTTAGATTTTGTAATACTTTGAACTTGGAAGTGTTGTAATTAATTTTGCAACTGAATTTTTATAGATTCTCAAGTGCATGTGTATGAATTCCAATTTTTCTAAATTTTGAACTTCATATGGTTTTGTTGTTGATTGTGGTGCTGGGGATGTAATCCAGACAAGTGCTCTACACTTGCTATCTCCCAAGCCCTCATGTGCTATTTTTAAAATGAAAAAAAAAAGTCTCTGAATAACAGCTTTTAAAAAGAATTTTGTTGGTAATTGATAAGTTTTTCTATGTATAATGAAGAATATCATCTTCTTTAGGTCAATGTATTTCAGAATTTGTTGTGTGATCCTCTAGCGTTTATATCTGCTAGGTGTGTTTGTTTTAAAAGTACATCTCTCAGGCTGGGGATGTGGCTCAAGTGGTAGCACGCCTGGCATGCATGAAGCACTGGGTTCGATCCTCAACACCACATAAAAATAAAATAAAGATATTGTGTGCACCTAAAACTAAAAAATAAATATTAAAAAAAAGGTACATCTCTCAGAGGGAGAGAGGAGGGAAGGGAAAGGGAAAATACTGGGGACTGAATTAGAACAACTTATACCAAGTTTTCATAATTATGTCAAAATGAATCCTAATGTTATATATAACTTAAAAAAAAATCAATTAAAAAAAGAGAAGTGGGTAAACCAGGCTGATGAGTCAGACACAATGATATAAGCTTCCTTATATCATTAGGCCTAGTCATTTGAGATAATATATCTCAGGCACTTAGTACAGCAGTGCTAAGTTGGTGAACACATATATACATGCAAACATATTTAAAAATTAAAAATGTTAGGCTAAAGTCTAGTAATTTGCATTAATATGGAACTTACTGGTTCCCAGAAAATACGTAATATGTAAATATATCATAAAAATATAATTGTAACCAGCAAAGTAACTGTTCAATGTATTTTAAATAAACAATGACAAATGAGTCTGGTATTGACTTTACTGGTTACAAATTATATTTCTATGTTATATTTACATATTATATATTTTCTGGGAATGAGAAGATCAAGACAAACTATGGTTTTCCAAGTTTTTTTTCCCTCTCCCAACCTGCCTTTCCACCTGCCAACTTCCAACTTCCTTTTCAAGGTCTTTTTGTGTGTATGGTTCTGGGGATCAAATCCAGGGAATTGTACATGATAAGCATGTCCCCTACAACTAGGCTACACCCTTAATACTGTTATAATTTTTTTTTCTTCACAATTAGTTTTGCCTTTTCTGGAAATTCAAATAAATAGAATTATATAGTTAAAAGAAGTTCATGTGCTAGTCAGAATCTTAGAAGTTAAATGGACTAGGGATCACATTTTAAACTATAAATTCCTCTGGTTAAATACAAATGAGAAAGATGGTCTAAGGTTTTGCTATCACACCCAGTGACAGAATCCGTCAGATGCTTGAAGAAGATGCTTGGTAAGCAATTTGAACAACATGAATGATTACTAAGTAGATATCTGAGAAAGAAGTCACTATACCATGTCAGAGAAAAATTACTTGGCTGAATTATAGACACAAAGTAAGTAATACATGCAAATAGTGAGAAAGTACATAAAGATAATTAAAACTATCCATCTCCACTTTTCTTTTGCCCAAGTGATTTGTTATAAATAAGCTGGCTTACTTTAGACCCAAGCCATGGCAGGAATAAAGAGCATTCATTGACTGGACAACTCAGGCACAGGTAGACGATTCCTGCAGTTCTTCCCCCCATAGACCTGTTCTGAGTAGCTGCTTTTCCCAGTATTCTTTAAAAAAAAAAAAAAACTTTAAAAATGAGATATAACTTACATAGAGTAAGCTGTACAGTTTGACAAACTTTTACACATATAAACACCCTTGTTTCTACCATTAGATCAAGAGGTGGAACATGCTAAGCATTCTATTAATTAAAGTTAATTAACTTTCCCAAGGGTAGCACCTATTCTTATTTCTATTATTAAAGATTAGTCTTGTCTGCTTCTGATCTTTGAATATAAGGAGTCTTGTAGAATGTATATTTTATGTCTTTCTTTCACTCAACATTCTGACCATAAAATTCATTCAAGTTGTCTTTTAATCCACCAGAAAGGTAAGTATGATTCTCCCAATTAAAAGGTGAGTTAAGGTGGAATGTAGCTGGCAGGGCAGAGAGCTGAACATTTACATTTATGCTCTTCAGGTAAACCTCACTTCCCATGTCCTTTGGAGCTCTCCAAAGAGAATTCTACCTCCTCACTTACTAAATGCCTATTTCAACAGCTTTTCTGTGCAATTTACACCCATATCAGCCAAATCTACTTAAATCAGAATTGCCTTCATACAGCTTTTTTTCTTCAGGCCATGATAGATGTGCAATACTCTTCTCACTGCATCCCCCATGCAGTCCCTGGATCCTACAGATGTAGTGTCATTCTCCATTTTTTTTTTCTCCCTTACATGACAGTCCCACCTCTTCTTTGTACACAGCATACGCAGAACCACATAAGACATAGCCTAGGGCAACAGAACTGTTAATCAATTCAATCCAATTTAATTCACTGAGAAGTAGCATTCCTAGTATTGCATATCTTCGTCTCGATGTATAATTTCAAAGGATTACTTTGTCAAGGGCAAAAATTTGGAAGTCAGTAGAAATTTTCCATTCCTCCACTTCATCAATACATCACTAGGTTCATATTTGTCATTTTTGTTCCTTTCCAGGGACTGCGGACTTGTGTAGAGCCTATTGGGACATGAAAGTAGCCAATCACCAAAATTCAGAGAGATACTTCCATGCCCGGGGGAACTATGATGCTGCTCAAAGGGGACCTGGGGGCATCTGGGCTGCTAAAATGATAAGGTAAAGTGGAAATGCCACTGAGCAGCAGGCAGAGCTGTTTGGCCTCCAACCCCTTCTGCCTGTGGCATGTCCTCTTTCTGTCTAGGCTTCCAGGGCCTGGATGGCCTGCAGAGCTGGTCAGTGTTGTCGCCTCTCACCTCTATAGAAAAAGCAAAAACTAGAGAGGGCGTCTCAAAAGTGCCCTGGGTCAGGGTACAGAAAGAATCAGCTGATTTAGGCCTTTTCCCAAGAGCATTGATATTTTAGTTTTTCTGTCCTTGGGGACTGACTTCTCTAGGCTTCTCTTGGTCATTCCTTGAGCATCAGGGGAGGAGGGAGTTAGGAGGCAGAGCTATCTCAGGTGTCAGATTAATTTCCTCTTTCCCCCTTCTTTGGATTTTAGCACTGCTGGCAAGTATTTTCGGGGGCTCCTAAATCAGTATTATTATGGAGGCGGCCACCGTGGATGGGAGAACATTCAAGCCAACCAGAAGGCTGAAGAGTGGGGCCGAAGTGGCAAAGATCCCAAACACTTCAGACCTTCTGACCTGCCTGAGAAGTTCTGAGCCTGCCGCTCCTGCTGCTGTCAGGAAACTAGGCTGGGGGCCGCACACCTCTCCTGAATGCTGGGCTTCATGTCCCAGGGACTGGTACAGGGCATCCAGAGTTGTCCAATAAATGTTTTCAAATTTAATTTCTTGATGGAAACTAGAAACTTTGAGATAGACTTTTTGAGAAAAATGGTCATCTTGTGTCACAACGAAGGTAAACAGCCCCATAAAGGAGGTGCCTGTGACTGTGGGGCTGCAAGGACCCCCAACTGGCCCGTGACAATAAAGGTCCCTCACATTATCCCCACCAAAGCCTCTCTCATCCTTAGTGGTCCCAGATTCTCATGCTGAGTAAGTCTGAGCTGACAAAGCACTGACCATCATGCTGGGTCCTTCATGACGTCATCATGGCTGGCACAAGTTTTACAGGCAGCCTCCCATCAGTCTCTGCATAAACTCAATCATAATTATATCAACCTCTATCCTCCCCCTGTTTCTGGTTTCAACCCAGGCCTCTCTCAATACAGACTCTACTCTGCCCAATCAGTTGCATCCTGTTCAGTGTCAGGCTCCAGGTCTTGTCCCCCATGACCTCCTTCCATATTGAGGGAATACATTGCTTCGAGAAGCCTAATCCCAGGAGCTCTATCCTAGAAATCATCATCTCGGACCCCATCTTATTTCTTAACAATATCAGTACCTACCCCAACTAAATTTTAAATAGTCTCTGCTTGTTTTACCTAATGAATATCTCTCACATTAGTTTTTCTTGTCTTTATTCTCACTGTCTTTTAACTTGGATAAAAGTCTACTTCCGGTTCTAGAGGGGAAGTGAGATATGCAGATAGACACAACATTACTAAATATGAAAGGCTGTGTAAAGTTTGTACCTCCTTGTTAAGGCAGAAAAATCCCAGTTAACTTACTAATAAAGCCAAGATTTTCTTTCCAAAGAAGGTCAGTATAGTTTCAAGGAACAGTAAAGGATTAATAAAAAGGAAGATTCCAAAGATAAAAAGAGACAGGCTGGGTGCAGTGGCACACACCAGTAATCCCTGTGGCTAGGGAGGCTGAGGCAGGAGGATCTCCAGTTCAAAGCCAACCTCAGCAAAAGTGAGGCACTAAGCAACTCAGTGAGACCCTGACTCTAAATAAAATACAAAATAGGGCTGGGGATGTGGCTCAGTGGTCTAATGCTCCTGAATTCAATCTCTAGTAGTACACCCTCACCCACAAAAAAAGATAAGAAGGGATAGAATAACTGCTGCACCAAAGTCAAGCAGAAGCCTGAGGAGGTAGATCAAGCCCATAGATGATGGGTTAATTGACAAATGAGTAGAAACATCTCTTGCTTTGAGAAAAGAAGGAAGGTGAAGAGAATGAGACCAGGGGAGACAGAACATTTAAAATGGACAGCAGGGGACTGGGGCTGTGGCTCAGCAGTAGAGCACTCGCCTCTCACGTGTGAGACCCTGGGTTCGATCCTCAGCACCACATAAAAATAAATAAACAAAATAAAGATATTTTTTTAAAGGGGGGTTGGGATTATAGCTCAGTGGTAGAGCACCCTTGAGTTCAATTCCCAGTATGGAAAAAAAAAA